AGATGTGTCCCCCCGTTTTCCATGACCCCCCCAGATGTGTCCCCCCGTTTTCCATGACCCCCCCAGATGTACGTGCCTGGCAAGCTCCAGGACACCCGCACGGTCCTGGTGGACGTTGGCACCGGTTACTACGTGGAGAAGGTGGGGAGGGGGCTTTGGGGGGGCTTTGGGGGGGTTTGGGACCCCCATTTCCACCTTTCCCACCCCATTTCCCACCCTTTTCCCCCAGTTCTTCCCTCCTCTCGCCCCCTTTCCCATCCTGGTTTTCCCCATTTCCCCCCATTCCCACCCCATTTCTTCCCCGTTTTCCCTCCTTTTCACCCAATTTTCCCCGTTTCACCCTTTTTTTCCCATTTCCTTCCCCTTTTCCCCCATTCCCCTGTTTTTCCCCATTTTGCCCCCATTTTCCTCATTTCCCCATTCCCATCCTGTTTCCCCTGTTTTTCCCCATTTCTCTCTGTTTTCCCCCAATTTCCCATCCTGTTTCTCCCAATTTTGCTCCCATTCCCACCCCATTTTCCCCAATTTCCCATCCTGGTTCTCCCAAATTCCCCATTTTCCCAATTCCCCAGTTTTCCCAATTTCCCATTTTTCCCATTTCCCCAGTTGCCCATTTTTCCCATTTTTCCCATTTTTCCCATTTTCCCAATTCCCCAATTTCCCATTTCTCCATTTTCCTTTTTCCCCATTTCCCCAGTTTCCCAATTCCCCATTTTCCCAATTGCCCAATTCCCCAGTTTCCCCAGTTTTCCCCCAATGTTCCCCTTTCCCAATTTTCCCATTTCCCAATTTCCCCAATTTTCTCATTTTCCTAGTTTCCCAATTCCCCAGTTTTCCCAGTTTCCAATGTTCCCATTTTCCCAATTTTCCCATTTCCCCATTTTTCCCAGTTTTTTCCCAGTTTTCCCATTTCCCTGCTGTCTCCATTCCCAGTCCGCCGACGACGCCCGCGCGTTTTTCAAGCGCAAAATCGAATTCCTGACGCGGCAAATGGAGAAAATCCAACCGGCCCTGCAGGAGAAGCACGCCATGAAACAGGGTGGGTACCCCCAGAGGGGCCTGGGACCCCCAAAAACCCCCTGGGACCCCAAAAAAAACCCCTGAGATCCCCCCAAAAACCTCCAGGGACCCCCAAAAAAACCCCTGGGACCCC